AAGGCCCCCATGTTACTTGCAGAACCAAGAGGAGGCACCAAACCCAGCTGAGAGGATCAGGGGAAGCAGCCCAGAGTTGCTGATCTGACAGGGACAATACAGCTGAGAAGGTGGCCAGAATGTTCTCGACTAATCCACATTTGTGAGCTCCTTCCAGAGCGAGAGAATTCTGTCTCATGCGCTCTTCGTCTCCCGGCAACGGGCCTTTGGCCCCAGCTCGGAGCAAATACTGATAAAGACAAAAAAAAGGGGGGGAGGGGAGGAAGAACAAGGAAGGAAAGAAGGCAAGCCAGCCACAGAATTGGCAAGGGCAATCCCAGGGTGGCACGAAGGTGTGGCAGAGGGAGTGGGATAGGGTTGGGTTCTTATTTTGTTCTAACACATCCGGGCTGAATGGCCTTTGGAGCCACTTCACTTCTCTGACCATCAGCTTCCGCATCTGCAAAATGGGGATAACAATAGGAGTACCTCTTGGTTGTTATGAGGCTGAAAAGTGGATTAAAAGCATATTTTAACAAATAGTAGGATTATTCCTATTATCACCGATCTATTGAGGAACAGCCTACCAAAAAATCTGCCTACACTCCTCAGTAGGCAAAAAGGTGGCTCCAGAGGTCACTGTAGATAGCCAGAGAGGCTGCCCATGAATCCAGACATTGAACCGGCTTCTCCTTGAACAATTCCTGCACTTTCCCAAGGGGGAAAGCTGGAAGGGGAGGCCCAGATTTGCCTCCAGCCAGCAGACAAAAGCTGGCTAATTAGGCAGGAAACTAAGAACCCAGGAGGAAGAAAGGGGATCTGAACAGGAAGGAGATAAAATGATCATTCATTAAGATCTAGAGGGTACCAAGGACTTACACTATTTGTTATGTCAACTGTGTGGCCTGGTTTATTACTGAGGAATCAGGAGCTCAGAAAGGTGAAGGGACTTTCCCAAGGTCACGGAGCCAAGAGGTGACAGGGACGTGATCTCAGTTGCCCAGGTCATCCTAGCCCCAAAGACCCAGAACACCTCTCATTCACCTGACACGCTGGCCTCCAAATGCAACACTCAGTTCCTTCTCACACCAGCCTGGGGGACAAGCGGGTCTGACAGCATGGCCAGATGCACCAGCACTTTCCACAACACCAACATCCTCCCCAGCACCAGCACCTTGCACGGTGCCAGCACCCTCCATAGCACCTTTCATGGCAAAATCAGCTTTAGAAGAACACCTAGGTCCCAGGACTAAGAAAGAAGGAAGGGCTCCTCTCTGCATGCTCCTGTTGTCTCAAATAGCCTGATGAACAGTTTCTCAAGTCTGTGACCCCTCACAAGAGCCTTCTTGGTTTTAGAAAAGACAAACATTCCAGGTGATTCTTTCAGCCAGTCTTTTTCGGTTCATCTCCCCCGCCCGGTCCTGTCCTCTCATTCTCTCATGTTGCCCCCAGCTGCTCTGTCCAGGTCAGTTTTGAAATGTGAAGCAGGGGCGCCTGGATGGCGCAGTCAGTTAAGCGTCCGACTTCAGCCAGGTCACGATCTCGCGGTCTGTGAGTTCGAGCCCCGCGTCAGGCTCTGGGCTGATGGCTCGGAGCCTGGAGCCTGTTTCCGATTCTGTGTCTCCCTCTCTCTCTCTGCCCATCCCCGTTCATGCTCTGTCTCTCTCTGTCCCAAAAATAAAATAAAGGTTGAAAAAAAAAATTAAAAAAAAAAAAAAAAAGAAATGTGAAGCAGTGAGCTGTTCCTCCCCTGTGAAGGTCCTGGAATCAGGGGCAGGTGTCTCCTGGCCAGCCCCACAGTCACCCCTGCCGGTGAGCAAGACCGCGGGGAGGCAGCCCAGCCACTGTTTACCAGCACCACACTCTCTAAGACTAGCTGGGAACTCTCTGACTTCCGGTGCTGGTTCTCCAGCACAAAACTCCATCCTGAGTTCCAGGCCATTTACATCCAAGGGCAACCAGACCACCATCCTTGGCCATCTCCCCCAGGCACCTCTCACTCCAGGCATCCCCCCAGCCTAGATCTCCCAGCTCCTGCTCCAGTGGACAGCATGCCCCTGCCCAGCCAGCCAAACGAGACACCAAGGAATGTCCCCAATAGCCCTTTGTTCTACCAGGAAAAAGTCCTATAAATCCCATCTTCAGAACAGCCCACCGGATCCCTGAGCCCTGCTGCAGCCAACAGCTCAGACCCTAGACTCTTCCTAATTGCCTTCAAAGCCTCCTCCCAGGCCCCTGAGATACAGGCCCCCTCACTTCTACAGATATACCCTCCACACCACCCAGGGGCAGCTCTCTTTGAGAAAGCAGAGAGGCTTGTGAATGCTCACTGCTTTACGTAAACAAACGGGGCTCCCGCCCACACCCGACAGTCAGTGCTGACGAAGGACAGGTGCCCCCAAACCCAATACCTTCCTTCCTGATTCCCAGGACCAATCGAGTCAAGCTGCATGGGGAGCTTCCGCAGGCCCAGACCCTGACTGAGCCCCTCCTTTTCTCTTAGTTGACCCACTTCTGTTTGAGCGGGAAGTGACCACCGTGGGCAACCTGGCTGAACAGAAAGGCCAGTCTGGCCCAGCTCTGAGCCCTGGCCCCTGCTACCTGCTGGCTAGAGGAGCAGGTCACGGTCACTGTCCTGAGCCATGGTTCCCCTTTGAGACACGGAGGGATACATCAGTCTCTCGGGGGCTTGTGGACGTTAAATAGGATTAAATGGCAACATACCAAAAGTGCTCAGAGAAGAGGAAAAAAAAAATCATCCAGCACCACCCCAGATAACACGGCCACAGACAGCATATGTTGATATATTTCCTTCCACGTTTTTCCCCCCTCTGTTTACTTGTGTGTGTGTGTGTTTTTTTTTTCCATAGTTCCAATCCTGGAAAACACACAATTTTAATCTCTGCTTTTTTCACTGAACTTTCTCTCTGAAGTATTTGCCCAAATTATTGTGTGTTTTCATCACCATCATTTTAAAATGACTGCCAAATAAAGAATAATTCCACCAGAAGCTTGTAACACTCTATTTGGTAAAGATAAATAAATAAATAAATAAATAAATAAATAATAATAATTCTACTTCTTTTCTGATTACTGAAATAATGCATGCTCATATCAAATTTGGAAAGCAGGGGAAAGTCAAAAGAAGACGCAAATATCTCATGGGTAATTCAGAGTAAACTAACTACTCTCTCAGAAAAAGGAAACCTTGAGAAACTGCCAAAATAGCCCATCATAGGGACACGGGGCTTGTTTCCAGAATCCTGAGGAAGTTGGTGACAATGTAGCATTGCTTCAAATATTTTGATTTTATAAATAACACTGCAGTGCACATTGTGGTTTGTGAATCCGGGCATATTTCCCGCGGCCCCGGGGGCGGGGGGGGCGCGGCGGCGGTGCACAGGTCAGCTCATTCTCTGGCCCAGTGCGTCCTTATGCTCCAGGATGGCCCCGGCCTCCCCTGGAAGCTCAGTGCTCATTCTTTTAAGGTCTGCAGTTCAGGCCACGCCCATATTCACACCGGGCCCACACTGAGCCAGACAGGAAAGCTACAGCCCAAAGTAAGAGAACCCGGCCCTCAGAGGTCGGGGAGGTGGTCAGCATCCAAGGAATTCTCACCCTCCCGAGGGATGCATATAGAGGGACCGCATTCCCTCCCGGGCTCACACACCCAGCTGCGCTAACACAGATTTAGCAGGGAGATGGGGAACGGCTTGTTTACCATATACACACTCCAGTCCCAGATAACCAACCAAGAGCTGTTTTTACTTTCAAAATCCCCAGTCACGGTTGACACTAAATAGCTACGGTTTGTTGGGTACTTACCATGAACAGATCCAAGGGCTCTGCATGTCTTCTGTACTTCACCCTCCCAGCAACCCTAGTATCACCTCCATTCGACAAATGAGGTTTGCTGGCTGGGCGCGGCCCCTTGACTGGTCTAAGGTGGAGACAGGGCTCCTACCCAGTCAGACTGCTCCCATATCCGTTGTCAGAACCACTGGTTCTAGTAAAATCATGGCTGATTTTGCTTCCTAGATATCTTTTAGGTCTTCCCGTGTCTCTCTATCTGCTTGCTATCCTTGTTCAAGCCACCGTCTCTTTCCACTCGGACGATTGCAGTAGCCTCATAGTCTCCCCACGCTCCCTCTTGCCTGCTGCAGTCCATCAGCCACATAAAAGCCAGCGTGCTTTATTTAAAACCCACTTAAATCATGTCTCTCCCCTCCTTGAAGTCCTTCAGAGGCTTCCTTTATGCTTCTAGCATAAAACCCAAATTCCCGCATATAGTCTACAAGGCCTAGAACTGTCTGCCTTCTGCCCACTTCTCCTGTCTCATATCTGCCTGATCCCTACCCACTGCCGACAGTCTTGCCTCGTCGCCCTTATTCCTATTCGAGAGTTGGGACCAGCCTCAGGGCCTTTGCACAAGCTGTGCTCGTCCCAGCTACCTAAGTGACTTCTCCAGGTTATTTCCCTGAGGTCCTCCTTGCACGGCGTGCTTCATGGCTCCTTCACACAACTTATCACAGTGATATATACTTATCAGTCCCCCGAGTGAGAAGGACCAAGAAATAGAAAGTCATCCATTTGGTTTTTTTCCACTAAGAAGTCAGCTTTTCTTTCCTTTTGTCTTTTTTGCATTTTGTTGCAACCATCCACTGACTGAAATTTGAGGGTTTTGTAAAAATACATTTCCATCATATTTCCCGGGGATTGTGATGGAAAGACAGAGAGACAGGGACAGGCAGAGAAAGAGGAAAGGAGACACATGTATCAATTATCAAATTATCTGAGCATTCCAGTGCAGAAGAGAGCGTAAGTAGTGTTCAAGAGGCAGAGCTTTTGTTATTTGATCAGACTCTGTGCCCCCGGACAGTGTGGCCTCGAGAAATCCTCTAGAAAAAGCCTATGCCATTTCCCACTCTTCAGTAGCAGCTACTCTACTGGCACGAAGAAACTTGAGCTGGCGGAAGCCAGCCTTACCTTTACAGTTTGTGTCACCCCGTCAAGAAACTAACCGTAAATTCAGCGATTTTCGGCACCCGGAACTTTCCTTTGTTCTTCTGTTCAGGCTGATATTCCGTTCTTGTCTTCACAATCACCTGAAATGGTCAGCCAGTGTTAGCACACGTGGAGACTTCAAACACTTCTCTGCTTTTCTTTTTCTCAGTAACTAGAATTTTTATACATCGCACAAAGAACAGAAAATAAAGAACTTCCCTCTCAAACACACAAGAGCGTAGAAAATTCAAATTATCCGTACTGCCCCATTGCAACAGAGGCAACCATAGGTGACAGTTTTGGTCATACCTTTCCAGATGTATTTATACGTGTCTATAGGCGTCTATGATGTATATGTGTGCTATTATGCAAACATATATATTTTTATGTAACAGGTTCGTGCTTTGTGAATCATAACCTACTTTTATCATACAACAATACACTAACATTTTTTAACGTAGACAAATACGCAATTGTATTTTGCCTTTTGATGCAGCATAATATGTCACGGATGCGTACTCTACAATTAGTCCGATGGGTCTCTGTTGTTGAACATTTAGGTGGTTTCCACAGTTTGGGTGATGTAAATAAGTTATGATGAACAACCTGAAGCTCAACCTTTCTACATACACTTCACTGCAATTTGATTTAAGGGCTTGCACCAAGAAAAACATAAAGGTCGTTGAATCTCTTGGATCATATTTTTCTGAAGTCTGAATATTTTGCAGAGGTGGTTAATATCTTATCAAGATACGCTGTCAACCTGCCAAGGCATTTATGGAACTGAGTCCCACTGTGTAGGCAAAGCGGAAGAAAAAAGAACCTGACAGATAATCAATAACAATGGCTGAGTGCCATAGCATCAGGAAGAACACCGAAGCTGTCCGAGACTCAGGGCCTCACCTGTAAAACATGGGCAATAGCCATAATCGTCACCCCTATTGAACAAGGTTGTTTTGAGGGTTAAATGAGATGATAATGGGTAATATTTTTGGAATTATTTATTATGTGCCAGAACTGGAACGAGCACTTCATATGCATTTATCTACATACCACTACTATTTCCACTCTTCTGACAAGGAAACTGAAGCTCAGAGATACTAAGTCACTTGCCCAAGGTCACACAGCTACAAGGAAGCTGTCTTCTAACCATGATCACTCTTACTTCTCGCCGGAGCTTAGATTAACTGAATCTTCACTGAAAACTCCCACCACGTTTTCCCGGAGACAGCAGTCAATTGTACTGACTCGAGCAAAAATTTCTCCTGTGAAGCATGTTAAGTCTGTGAGGCATGCCATTGACTAAATGTAGCTCAAAAAGGAAAAGGTGGGGTAAGGACTACTTTACTGAACATCTCCCGTGTGGATAACTTCAATATGTTAGTTAAGGAGGCTTGGGGCCCTGCCCGTCTAGCCCCTCTCTCCCTCCCCATCATCGAGAACCCATTGACAGATGTCAGTTCTCCTCTTGTATCTCACCTCTCTCCAAACAACAGAAGCAAGCCCTGGCTCCTTCAGATAGGGAAGTGGGGCAGCCAAATAAAGGTGAGGGCTACTGGGGAGATGGGGTGGATCGTTCTGTTAATTTTTTATTTTCTTTCAGCCTCCTATTCCAAAGGACAGGAAAGCAGATGCCTCTTTGCCCGCAGGTAATAAAAGCAGGTCTCCTTCTTTGCAAATTGACTAAATAACAGAGAGCAGGCACTGAATATTTGACGTCTGTATCTCAATTCTATCCTGTGGTGTAGATACTGGTACTGTCGGTATTGTAGGGAGGTGTAAGGGTATGAATACCCTTTGAATACTAGCTCCGCTAAGCCTTCTGTATCTTTGTTTTCTCATATATAAAATGGGGCAATGACCATAAATACCTCATTAGGTTGTTATAAGGTTTAAATGAGTTAGTAGAGGATAAGCACTCAGACCATTCATTCAATAACAAATGTTTATTTGAACACTGCCTCTGAGTGCTGACAAATTTTCTTCCCTAGATGTTTGGAGCAGATGTGGAATTGAGCTGTCCTGTACCTGTCAGCCCGTAGGTCCTCCCTACCCAACCCATCAAGAGCAATGCAAGGACTTCTCAAGAGGAATGCTGTTCAAGCATGCTCCTCCTGACCTCCTTGTCTGGAAAAGAAAAAAAAAAAAGGTAGGGGGTGATAGATGAACAGAAGTTTACTGGGTGAGCAAGCCAAGGAAAGACATCTTCTGCAAAGTGAACCATGTGGCCAGAGAAAGAAAAGTGTGAAATACCACGTGGTCTACACAGTTTGCTGTTTGCTTTCATGTGAACTTCAATGGATACATGAGAGTCGGGAGCTAATGTAACTAAGGAAGCAACTGCTTAAAGCATAGCTCATATGCTAGGTGCTTCTATTATTACCTAACTCAATGTTCTGGATATGTGCAGGTGCTTTGTGAACTTAGAGGCTATTCTACAAGTGTTAATGATTCAAAATATTTTGGATATCACTAGACCAACTGTCAGGTTATAAAGTGGTGTGGAAAACGTAGATGTCTGCTCATTCTGATCCACGTTTTTAGAAATATTCACAAGCTGGGAATTATAATGTCTTTTCCCTATTTTCATGTTGTATGTACGTATATATACATATGTGTGTGTGTGTGTGTGTGTGTGTGTGTGTGTGTATTATAATGCATCTTGGTATCTATTTCTAGACATACTGAATTTCCTGGTCATTGTGTCATGTGAACCATAGGGCTTGGGGCAATAAATGCCTTTGCCTTTTCTGGTAAGTAGTATTCTCAGATGGCCCTCTAGCTTCCTAACCCCACCGCTCCCCACCCCAGTGTATGTGTGCAGGATAGTCCCCTCCCTCAAGAGTGTGGATAGGATGATGGCCTCTGATGGCATAGTTACTCCTCTGGTGATATTCTGCTGTTATAAAACTCCATCACAGCAGACTGGAGAGAGATTCTCCTGCTGGCCTTGACGAAGTAAGCTGACATGTTACAGGAAGTCCATGCAGCTGGAACCTGAGGGCAGATTCTAGATGCTGAAAGTGACCCAGGCTGACAGCCAGGTCATTCAAGAAGATGGGGACTTCAGTCCTACAAGTACAAGTAACTAAATTCTGCCAACAACCTCAGGGGGCTTGGAAGGGGATCCCAAACTCCAGACAAGAAGGCAGAGTGGCAAACACCTTGACCTCAGACCGGTGGGACCCCAAGCAGAGAGCCCAGCTGACCTGTGCCTGGACTTCTGACATACAAAAACTGTGAGATAATAAAACGGTGTTGTTTTAAGCCATTTCCTTTTTGAAAATGTGTTGTCTGACACTAGAAAACTGATGTGCCTTCCCGCATGGCCAAGTCCATCTCAACAATCAACCATCTCTTGGGTTGATCCCTTTGCTGCTAGATTTTTAGCCATCAGATCTCGGCCATCTGCACATCACACATGAAACGTGAAGAAGCATTTGCTTCTTCAACCTTTCTTCTGCCCCACTATTTCTACAAACATCTTTTCCAAAGCTCAAAAAGCCCAAAACCATTTTCATCATTCCACATTAATTTAAAAGACCCAATGCATAGCTGACATCTTGAGAAAGATGTCTTCTGATACCTCAAGATGGGTGACAGAACCTTAAAAATATTACCGTTGGACTGAGATAATGAATAATCATTATAGGCCCTGTCATTCTAATTATCATAATAAACATTTTGTGGTTGCATCTCTGGCATCCATTTAGATCAAAAGTTTCCAGATATCCTTTTGGGAACTCACCCTTGCCCCAGTGCGTGGCAGCCATGCGGTCTGGTCAGGCCGATCCCTCCCTCATGGTAGGAACGGTCCCTTAATTAGGTTAAGCCCAATCAGGGCATACCATCCTATTGATCATAGACTTTGATTGGCTCAGAAATGGTCATGTTACCCAATTTGGACCAATAGTATAGGAGGCAGTATTGACTAGGGACTTGGGGAAAGAAGCCTCCTCGCTCTTTATGGGTGTTCCTCAAAGAGCATGCTCTTCCTCTGGTTGGTGTATTGAGGACTTGAGTTCTGAAACTTCTGTAGAGATTATTGTCCCAATGAGGAGGACCCAAGATGAAGACAAAGGTAGCAGGTGAAGGAGGGCGGAGCCCGGAGGAACCTAGGGAAACGGAGATGGGCCCTGATCACATGCTGCCCTCTGGATCATACCTTGTCTGAAGTCCACTTTGGACTCTGCAGTTATAGGGACAAATATATACTCCTTGGACCTTAATCCAATGTGGGTTAGGTTTTCTGTTACTTGAGGTAAAAAGCTCTATCTGATAAAAATGTGTTCCAAGAAAAATGAACTGAAAACTGTTAGAATTTAGCAAGATGGCCAAATAAGCATCACAAAATCAATAGGGTTTTTTTTGGGGGGGGGGGGCACCAGCAAAAAAAATCACCTCAAAATATAATGCGTCCACCAAAAGATACAGTAAAAATGTTCATGGCCACTTTTTTCATAATATCTCCAAACTGAAAACAATCTAAATGTCCATTAATAGGAGAGTGCATAAAGTGCTGTTTATTCATAATAAAATGGAATGCCACACACGTGGGTGAATCTTAGAGACATTACATTGAACAAAAGAAATCAGACACATGTTTTCTATATATTATATGATTGATTTCATGTATATCAAGTTTAAAATATATATTAAAAATGTATATATTATTTATTTATATAATTTATATATAATATTTACAATAAATACATAAATAATAATAGTATTTATAATTATATACCATATTTCTTCTTAAAGTATCTCATTTACCACTTGCAGTAATGGGAGGTGCTGAGTTTGACAGAGTGGGGGTCATAGGCCTCCTTAAAAACCGTGTCCTGCTTTTTCCCTGAACCTCTATGACTGGCTACTTATGCCCTGAATGACTTTCTTTTTTTGTTTTTAATTTTTTAAATGTTTGTTCATTTTTGACAGAGAGAGACAGAGCATGAGCAGAGAGAGAGAGAGGGAGACACAGAATCCGAAGCAGGCTCCAGGCTCTGAGCTGTCAGCCCAGAGCCTGACGCGGGGCTCGAACTCACAAACCGTGAGATCATGACCTGAGCTGTAGCTGGATGCTTAACCGACTAAGACACCC